TCCTGTAGGATGTAATTTCTCGTAAATTTTCATCCTGGAAAAGCTGCCTCTTCAGCCACGACCAAGGCCTTGTTTGTACTGCAAATACCACTAAATTCGTGTCTTACGCATCCAAGCTTCTTCTTGCGCTGCGGCGTAACGTCCGGGCGTAGCGGGGTTTAGGGTTTAGGGTTTAGGGTTTAGGGTTTAGGGGGGTCCTTTGGGCGACTGGTAGATCCCAAATCACCAAGACCTCATTCTGGAAGCCATAAACTAGCAAACCCTAAACCCCCAAACCGCTTAAACCCCCCTAAACCCCTCAACCCCCTGAACCCCTAAACCCCCTAAAGCCTTAAACCCCTAAACCCAAAGCCCCTAAGCCCCTGAACCCCTAAGCCCCTAAAACCCTAAGCCCCTACACCCCGTAAACCCCTAAACCCCTAAACCCCGAAACCAATAAACCCCTAAACCCCCAAACCCCCAAACCCCTAAACCCCTAAAGCCCTCAACCCCTAAACCCCTTTAGCTCCTTTCAGCCCCTAAACCCCTGAACCCCTTTAAGCCCCTTTAGGCCCCTAAACCCTTAAACCCCTAAACACCCTAAACCCTAAACCCCTAAACCCTAAACCCCTAAACCCCTAAGCCCTAAACCCCTAAACCCCAAGCCCCTAAACCCCTAAGCCCTTAGGCCCCTTAGGCCCCTAAAGCCCTAAACCCCTAAACTCCCAAACCCCTAAAGCCCTAAAACCTAAAGCCTTTAAAACCCCTTTAAAGCCCTAAATCCCCAAACCCTTCAACCCTTCAACCCCTTTAAGCCCCTAAACCCCTAAGCCCCTAAGCCCCGAACCCCTAAACCCCTAAAACCCTTCAAACCCCTAAACCCCCTAAACCACTAAACCCCTGGGCCCCTTAGCCCCTAAACCCCTAAAAGGAGGAATCCTCAAAGGAAGAACCGAAAGCCTCGGCCCGTTACAGATAACCCTACACCGTAAAATTGAAAGGAACCCGAAATTGGGTGATGCAGGATTTATATCATCAACCGTATTCTCTACAGCCTGAAAATCCCAAAGCCTTAAACCCATAAACCACAGACCCTACACTCAAAACCCGTAAACCCTAAACCCTAAACCCCTCAAGACAGGATAAATAGAA